GAGGCGCAACTGCTTCTTCTTCTTCTCCCCCCCCTTGCAAGGCTCGAGCTAGTGGCTGCAGCGGCCAAAGAGCCCCGCTCAGGCGAGCAAAAAAGGAGCGGGAGAAGCCGGCGGCATTCCGCCGCGATGCAGGCGGCGAAGGCGGCGGGCGCTCCTACAAAAAAGGGGTGTGGGTGAGGACGGGCTGAGGGAAGGGGCGCCCGGGCCCCCCCTTCCAGCGCCTCACAGGGGGTCTCGGCTCGCTTCCTCCCGATAACAGGAGCCAAAAACGGCGGGCGGGGGGCAGAAAGCGATATAAGCGCCGCAGGTGGCTAGTCGGAGTCTGGGGAGGTGCAAAATGAAGCCAGCTGCTTTGCCTTCCTCCTCCTCCTCCTCCTCCTCTTCAGCCCCGGGAGTCTCTGGCGAGCATAGGAAGCGCGCTCGCCGCTCCTGCCTTCGCCGCCACCATCCTGCATCCCCGCCGGCGAACCACCTTCTCACTCGGCCTCTCTCCCTCCCACGCCTCCCCGCCCCCTCCTCGAGGGATCTGTGACTTCACGGTATTACATCAACCTCCCCAAAGCTCACTGGCTTGCGGAGGGCTCTGTGGGGGGGGGAGGGGCGACTAACGCATCCTGGGAATTGTAGTTCTTAAAACGACAGGTGGGGACGGGGGGGAAGAGAGGGGAGACAAGGGTGGGAGGCAAGCGGAGCAGCAGCATCCTGGTGGTCAAAAATAAACACAGCTGCACACGCGCGCGCGCGCGCGCACACACACACACACAAACACAAAGTATTTTTAACCAAATAGGCTCTGTCTATAGCGTGATAAAAGGGATTGCCATTTTCGTTTGTAAACACACGAGCAAGACGGCCCGTATGTTTTAGTCTCATTTAATTTGATAACTGCAGGAACAGAATAATAATGGTTTTAGAATGGAAATTCTTTTCGGCTTATTATTTAGGCTGCCTTTCTCCAGCCTTCCAGATGTTTGGGACTTCAGCTCCCATGATGCTTATCTGTGGCTTAAAAGAAAAATTAGCAACTTTATCCTGATGGCTTGTATAAGCAAAAAGCCTGCCACCCCTAGTATTTCTGCATCTAGGAGGTGTCTAACAATTTCATAGTGCTGTCATACATATCCCTACTCGGAAGAAAGTTTCACTGGGTTCAGTGGGAGCAGCCCCCAGGTAACTGCTTGTAGGATTGCATTCTTAAGAGTTTGCACACGGGCATGTTTGGAAAAGACCCCTAAAAAGTACGTACACGAAACTGCGATCTAAAGGTTCAGATCATTATGATTCTGAGTGGGAAGGGGAATAGTTCTGAGAAGCTAGTAAGTTTGAGACTAGATTTTCTCTCAGAACTCCCTCAAGTCTTACAATATACATCCTTACTTAGAAGTAAGTGGCCAATATCCTGTTGAGCTTCTGCTGAATAGCACTGTAATGTGAGGTTGTGTGACTTGTGCAAATACTGCTGTTGCACAAGTGGGGATCTCCATGAAGCAAACTCACTCTCCATTTGTGCAATAAAAGCAATTACACAGTGTAATTCTGTGTTACTAAATTGGCAGTGCTTTCTGATCAATGGAAACTTGGATACTGGAGATTTGAGTTGAATGGGATTTTTCTGCCAGCCGGGGAAATTAATATAGGAGTATTTGTTTGTTTGTTTGTTTATTAGGGAAATTAATATAGGAGTACTGACTAAATCAGCTTCCTCCAATCTAGTGCCATCTAGATGATTTGGGTTCAAGTAACAGAGGAAACTACCATTAGACAGAATATGGAGAGTGAGTTTCCTGAAGGCAAAGGTGTCAGAAAGGGGTGCATTTTATCCTCTGATCTGTATGCAGATCATATCATATGGAAAGCCAGACAAGATTCAGAGGAGTGACAAGAGGTGACAAGAAAATTAGTGGAAGGAATATCACAAAGGTGTCAGAAAGGGGTGCATTTTATCCTCTGATCTGTATGCAGATCATATCATATGGAAAGCCAGACAAAATTCAGAGGAGTGACAAGAAAATTAGTGGAAGGAATATCAGTAATTGAAGATATGCAGATGACATCATCTTACTGGCAGAAAGCAGCAATGACTTGAAATGACCTTTAGTGAAAGTGAAATAAGAAAGTATCAAAGCAGGAGTGCAGTTGAAGATTAAGAAGACAAAAATCATGACAGAGGAACGATACAACTTTAATGCTGAGAATTAAGAAATTGAAATAGTTCAAGGTTTTGTATACCTTGGTTGAATCATCAATCTGAATTGACAGCAGCCAAGAAATTGAAGAAGACTGAAACTAGGAAGGGCAACAATAAATTAATTCACTGGAGACCAAGACCAATATCATCCACACTCTTGTATTTCCATTCACCATGTATGGGTGTAAAAGCTGAATAGTAGAGATGGGGGTATTCGTATTTGTGGCGATAACAAGGGTCCAGCTCTATGGGCCAGACGGTCCACTCATTGATCCGCCACTGCCACAGACACCATGGTTCTTCCAGTGGCTTCGCAGATCGCAGTCGGCTAGCCACTTCTGGCAGGAGGCGGTAGGACAAGCCTCACTGCAAGGTTGAAGAGTGACTTGCCAATCGTGCAGAGCCATTGGAAGAATCATGGCGTCTGTGGCAGTGGCAGATTGGTGAGTGGATACCCTCGTTATTGCCACCCTTGTTATTGCCACCTGTGTAGCAATATACAGATATGAATACCCCCATCTCTACTGTCTGTGGCAGCAGCAGATCAGTGAGGGGATACCCTCGTTATCGCCACCTGATATTGCCACCCTTGTTATTGCCACCTGTGCAGCAATATACAGATACGAATACCCCCATCTCTACTGGACAGTTAAGAAAGCTGACAGGGAAAACATTGATTTGTTTGAAAAGTAGTGCTGGAGGAGAAATTTCTGAATACCCTGGACTGTGAGAAAGATGAACAAGAAGGTCAAATCAAACCTGACCTATCTCTAGAACCAATATTTTTGCAACTGAGGCTGTCCTCCTTTGGGCACTTCATGAGAAGGCAGAATTTTCTGAAAAATATAATGCTGGGGAAGGCTGAAGGCAGCAGGAAAAGAGGAAGTCTAAATACAGGATGGATTGATTAACTAAAGGAAGCCACAAGTTTGACTTTGCAATTGCTGAGCCCGGCAGTTGAAATCAGGACATTTTGGAGATCTCTCATTGCCATAGGTTAGGGGTGACTTGATGGCACATAAAAACATCAATATAAGCTCCAGCCAATATAGCCAGTGGTAAAGGAAAAGGGGAATCAGAATTTTAGTCATAGGGCTTACATATAAGGAATACTGTAAGAGAATGTTCATAGACTTTTGGCCTTACTAGTGTCTTAGAAGCCGCACTCCATGAAGCAGGAGGCTACATACTGTATATTATTTCTAGTCAATAGTCCCTAAAATGCCTGGTTCTAGCTACTGAAGGATGCAAGCTGCAATTTCTAACTATCATAGAAAGAGGAGAAAGGGAGGTTGAGCATTCAGGTTTTTATACATGTACATTTTTATATATAGAAATTGGAATGCCCAATACGAATGACTTTCTGAATTGACTTACCTTTCTGTTTTTCTGTAAACACTACAGATATTTGCGCTGTCATCAAATCATTACTTTCAGCAGCGCTTGCAAAAAGTTAATAGAAAAATGTTTTGGGGAAAAAATGCGGCTTCAGAGCTCTCAGCCTAGAGCAGGTGCAGCAGTATCACTTGCAGCAATCTAGCTGAAAATATTTCCCTGGTGACCATGGGGGTCTATCTTTATGTGCCATCTGTTTCTTCATATTGCACTGCGCTTCACATTTGTACTGCTGTGGTGGAGATCCTCCAGCAGTGCCCATTTGTGGTGTGCATTTCATGCCAGGTATTTCACTTTTGTATCTGTCTTTGCTTTGTTGGGGCAATTTTAAATATACTGTATAGTCCTTTGATAGCCTGTATTGCAGATATAATCAGGAACATGATTGTTTTTCATCTCTGGACTTCAGGGTCCTACTGAGGAGTTCATTCAATTTACTGCTTGGGGACATCCCTTCCTGCTTATTCTGCCAAGTTGGGTGCTGGACATCTATCTGCTCCCACAGTCCTGCCTTGAAAGTGCCACTAGCTGTAATATTGCTCCAGTAGCAAAGAACTGTGCATAACGTTGCACTCCCTTACCACTTTTATTTGAATATATCCCTCCCACCAATCAGCTTAGGATAGCAGGGACCCTGCATTATTCTCACTGTGCAATTGCACCATACACCCATGCTGAATCCACACATTCAACTTCAATTGGCTGTAGTACTCAAATACTTTTGGGACTGCATGTTGGAAACCAAGATTAATTTGGACAACTATAACCTTTCTAACTCCCAATACCCTTGTGTTTTATTACAATAAAAATAATAGAGGGAAATGTGTTTTAAGGGTGAAGTGTTATTATAAGAATTTAACATCAACAGAACCATACGAATAATTTTCTCTTGATTTAATTGTGATTATACTTTAACTCCATAAAATGCCAAATGAATAGATTACCCTCAGGCTATGCTCCTAATCATGCTGATTTTGGATGATGGCCTTTTTACTCACTGCAATTTATTTCTGAGTAAACCTCCATAGTTTCAGGTTGCAGGTGTTGTTGTACACCACCTCCTATATATACGAACTTTCCAAATGCTTATCTCTGTTACTGAAGGCATTGGAGGAACACCCTCCACTATTATCTTGATCTTTATTTCTTATTCCTCAACTCTCCTTCTTTTTCTTTTTTTTTCCTTTCCTATCTTGGATTAATTTGGATTTTATCTTATTTTTTTTATATTATATGTGAACTGCCCAGAGTAGACACGTTCCAAATGGGCGGTATATAAATCCAATAAATAAATAATAAATATTGTCTTTCCCATATTTATGTGAAGAATGACTTCACATAAATATGGAAGTCTGTTCTTTGGAACAGACTTTGGAATCTGTTC